CTGAGAATGATGGTTTCCAGGTTCATCCATGTCCCTACAAAGGACCCAAACTCATCGTTTTTGATGGCTGCATAATATTCCATGGTGTATATGTGCCACATTTTCCCTATCCAGTCTATCGTCGATGGGCATTTGGGTTGGTTCCAGGTCTTTGCTATTGTAAACAGTGCTGCAATGAACATTCGTGTACACGTGTCCTTATAGTAGAACGATTTGTAATCCTTTGGATATATACCCAGTAATGGGATTGCTGGGTCAAATGGAATTTCTATTTCTAGGTCCTTGAGGAATCGCCACACTGTCTTCCACAATGGTTGAACTAATTTACACTCCCACCAACAGTGCAAAAGTGTTCCTATTTCTCTATTTGCAGACGACATGATTGTATATCTAGGAAAAAATGTTTAATATTTGTAAGCATTTGTTCGATAGTTTGCTGCCTCCTCAGTAGGTTTTGATGGAAGTGAATTTTGATGAATTGCTACATTGCTGGGTAGTGAAGTTAACATGTGGCTTCCATTTTCTAAGAGAAGATATCAAGAAACTAGCAACAATAAGTAAAAATGTTAAATATACAAGAATCAGCTGTTCCTTCGAGTCATCATTTAGTCCTGGTTCTATTTGCATGTGAATATCCTTTACAATATATTTCTTGCTTGCTTGCTTGCTTTCTGTTTATTTCTTTCTTTCTCTCTTCTCTCTCTTTCTTTCTTTCTTTCTTAGTCTGCTTAGGAGATCTCATCTTTGTAATGTTTACTTGGTATCGTGTTATAACCTCAGAATGAAGCGGCTATTCTTCCCCTTGAGTCATCTGCCCGAATGAAGATTCCCCAAAAGAACTTACATGGTGATTTCCTTTTACCTTTTTTTAAAAAAAATTTCTTTTCATGGAAAGATAATGGAACGTGTCAACAAGATTCATTTCTAGCAAGGCAAAGGAGTTGTTTATCATGTAAAGACTCAACCTAAAGCTGCTTTAGAAAACTTTTGTTAAATGAGAATCCATAGGTTTTCATTGCATTATTTTGGCCAATTGAAAAATAAGACCAAGTGCGGTTCTGACCTTTGTTTCTCTTATGTTTATTTTTACAACCACCATTTCAATGTCCCCACTTGCTGATACAAATGGCTGTTCAATTTTAAAAAGTGTTTCATTGAAGTCAAGTTATTTAGAACCTAATCAACTACACGTTTTTGTGGTTGCTGCCATTTTGCAAGAGTGAAGAGCTTGGAGTAGGTGAATCTGAGATGAAGTACAGTCATCATTTATTAGTCATGTAATTTGTGACAAGCCACTTAATCTCTCTGAATTTCTTCAGTTTCTTCATTTGTAAAATTGGCATAATAATGCTGTCCCTACTAGGAAGTATAGAATTACGTAAGAGGTCCTTTGTATGTATTGGCTAATATTGCTGTCTTACGATTTGGCACTGTGGAGTCACTGTGGGAGATTAAAAAATGGTGACTAAAAGGTGACTTCAGCTCTGAAGGGCTTGATGAACCATTTGGGAGAACAGGTAATACAGAATATTTATACTGGCTTCGAAAGTGGCAGGTGTTTAGAAGAGAAAAGGATACATAATATAATAGGAGGCAAAAGCTTGATGGAGAAGACTGAGAAGACTTGGAGCAAGGGTTCACAGCCCTGACTGGACATTAGAATTAGCTAGGGACAATTCAATCAGAATTCCTGGGGGTCCAAGCATCAGTAATTTAAAGTTCCCTGGGGACTTTAACTTGCCTCCCAGGTTGAGAATCATTTAAAGAACTTTATTTATTATTTATTTAATTTTTTAATTTATTTTTTGAGATGGAGTCTTGTTCTGTCACCCAGGCTGGAGTGTAGTGGCTTGATCTTGGCTCACTACAACCCCCACCTCCCAGGTTTTAGCTATTCTCCTGCCTCAGCCTCCCTAGTGGCTGGGACTATAAGCGTGTGACACCAGGCCTGGCTAATTTTTGTATTTGAGTAGAAACTGGGTTTCACCATGTTGGCCAGACTGGTCACAAACTCCTGACCTCAAGCGATCCACCCGCCTCGGCCTCCCAAAGTTCTGGGATTACTGTGTGAGCCACCATGCCTGTCCTATTTTTATTGTTTTTGAAATGGAATCTCCCTCTGTCGCCCAGGCTGGAGTGCAGTGGCACGATCTCAGCTCACTGAAACCTCTGCCTCCTGGGTTCAGCAATTCTCCTGCTGTAGGGTCCTAAGTAGCTGGGATTACAGGTGCCCACCACCATGCCCAGTTAATTTTTGTATTTTTAGTAGAGACTGGATCTCTGACTCCTGACCTCAGGTGATCCGCCCACCTTGGCCTTCCAATGCTCTGGGATTACAGGCTCGAGCCACTGTGCCCGGCTCATTTAAAGAACTTTGATTTTAAAGGTAGAAGTATTCCAAATAGGGGGAACAATATAAAGAAAGGTAGCATTCCTTTTGTTGTCCTGTGCGCTTTGAATTTCAGAAGGTGTAGTAAGCAAAGATCACTTACTAACCCTACAGATGTATCCATAGAAAATATAGTGGCTTCTGTCATAAATCTTATAAATCAGATGAGAGGAAGGGTTATGTTTCATGTTGATTTTTGTTTTATTGGTTTTTTTAAAAAACTCAACTATTAATGTCAGGTCTGATAATTGTATACATATTTT